CATCAGTTACTGAATTCATGACAATAATCTTTTCAACGTTACGAATTTGTTTTACAATACATTAGTTCATGTGAAAACAGTACCTTTAAACTGAATGGAATATTTTGCAAAATCAAGTTTAGAACAGTTGACTGAAGTGAGTGGCTACATTTACACTAGTGACTCTAAACTTTTGATGGGTAGTATATATAGAGATTTGTTGTACTGAAAGAGCTGTAAGAGATAAATTATGTCTATTTCATTAATGTTTTGCAAACTGTATTTCTGCATTGATAAAGAATGTTTTATAATCATACAGAGACCATGGGAGTTTATTCATTTGTCACAAAAAATGGGGTCGTGGGATAATCCCACGCAACATCATATTTCGAATGACAGAAATTGTTTAAACCTCAAAACTAGTAACTATACAACCTCCTGTTCATTAATGGTAAGTTGTGTGCTTTCTTGTGCTGACATGATCAAATCATAGCAGAGTCTGCTACATTAATGGAATATGGTTTTGATACTCATGACCTGATGTGATTGAGATAGTTTAAAACTGCTTCAACACACACTCCTGCATTGTTTATATTGTTAAACAAACAACTGTCCAGGTTTGATAAACCATTTATGAGAGGGCTAAAACCAGTGTCTGGTCTTTAATTGATCCACAAAGTCAACTGTGTAAGCATCTTTGATGCACGTTGGTGACATAAGTGGAGAGGAATCAGAAGCATTGTTCAAAGTTAGAAAGCACCGAATTCAGGCCAGAAATTGGCCAGGGTCACATTAAACAGCTTTAAAGTCCTGACATATATAAGACTGAACAATGAACTTTGCCAGAAAGTATAAAGTAAGGGGTTGGAATATACCCAGCAATGTGAAACACTGACCAAAGAACCCTACTGCCTGTTAAAGCCGAGAAATTGAAATGACCCTTTAAACAGATGAAAGCTCTTTGAGACCACAGCATGAAACGAATTACACATGAGTCTATTAATTCATCAAGCTAAGACTTTGAAATATTTCCATGAAATAAAAAATATTCACTGTTTGCTGTTTTGAGAATGCTAGACTTGCCAATTTCATATATGAATAACAAAATGAAAAAATCAAGATAACTTATGAAGTTTATTGGTTACCCTGCCCAAAAGTGATTATCTTTTATTAGAAATATCTAATGGATGAGGGTGACTGAGTTATTGAATTTGAGACACAGCCTTCACTGGACTGGGGGACTTAAATGTACTATATGTACCTACATGTTAAAGTACCACAACTTGTACAAGGTGGTAGAGGATATCAAGGTGAAAGGAGGGTGCACACACTGCCAACATCAGACTGACTTGTTGAAACACAACATTGGCTTCTGATTCTGCTGTATGTGCAAAGATACACCTCCCCAGTCACCATCAGTCATTCTCCAAGCTGAAAATACTGTCAAGATCATATTAAATGTTAAATCATAAAGACAATAACATGAGAAACTGCAGAGTTTTTGGAGAAACTAAATAATTGTTTTTAAAAGAAAACTAGGTTTATTCAAATGCAAAAAGGGTCAAACAGAAAGAATGGATCATATGCAACATTGTTGACTTAAAATAAGAGGGTTTATGACATATTGTGCCATCAGCAGTGAACACATTTCCTCTCACAATATTCATATCATATGACTTTACACTCAGGAGATTAACTCAGACACCCAAATTGTGTCCTAATTTGTTGTCAATTCATCGGTTTCAACAAATGTAGAAGCCAGGTAACCATTACCATGTGGGCTCTTGTCACTGTTAGACCACAAATCGAAGCTACATTCAAATCAAGGCCAGTAAAACCATCCATTCAACTCAAGTAGCCCAAGCTTCACTCCCAGTACTATTAAATTAGTCTCTTTAACAATGCCATCTTGTATCCATGGTGAAAAATATAAACAGGAAAGCATATATATGTAAAGTATGAATTACTAAATTGTGCACTCACCTTTACATGTTGCACAAAATCAAATGTTTTACCATTAACTCCAAAGCAACATTAATAAAAACCCAGGCTGTTCACAGCCAATACATGTACATATGGCCTCAGACCACAATTATTTTCTTTCTTTGCTATCTACAGTCACATGCCATGGCCAGTCCACCATAATTAATATCGGTCCTAGACTGTTCTCCTGTTGCATGCTGACCAACCTACTACTTCTCACTTAACCGGCAAAATATCGGTCTGGATCAACCATTTTAATTTTGCTGTATCCACTGTCAACAATGGTCATCGGAATTGTACACTAAAGAGCCTTGAACTTGGGGTCAAATCATGAAAGGTTGGAGTCAATACCATGTGCAGATTGGGGACAAAAACAAATGGCAATATCTTTCAGTTGAAGCTATCACAAGTCACCCTGAATAAATTAGCACAAACAGATCAGTGCATTTAAACATGGCACTATATTCTCCTATTTTCCATCCGAGGCATGGTAAAACTTAGAGGAGTAATACAGGAGGCTGAAAACGCCGACTCCAGTTCTGCACCAAAATGTAACCTACTTGAAAATATCTCTGCACACATTCTGCAGATGTCATCAGGTGGAAAAATATGGTTGGTTTTAATAACTGGATGAAAACACATTTCAACAACTTAAAATCACCCAATCACTGCCGTCATTTGATTCAGTCAGCACTGAAGGCTCTCCACGGTGCTTTAAAAAAATCGTCACGATATGGCTGAAATATTGCCGATAGGACGTGAAATTTCAACTCACTCACTCACTTTAAAAAAAGGCAGAGCAAAAAGAAGATACACTTCATTTCCCACCAGTCCCCTGGGATGCTTGGGGCTGGATGAAGCTCTCCTGTGCAGCTGGTAGAACCTCTGACGTGCACACCGACTCCGCCTTGACGTGCCGAGGGAGCGGCCCAGCTTGGCTGAAATGGAAGAGAGAGTGAATGACATTTTCAGGCTAGAGGGGGTTGCACATGGTCAAAGGAATCAGGGTCAAAGGGGTGATGATAATGTCATGGAAAATGATTTCAAATTAATTACTTTAGAGGGAAGTTAAGTTGAAAATAACTGAAAGTCATTTTAACTGCCAATCTGTAAACTCTTAAGACTTGCCAAAGTGCCAAAACAACCTGACAGTATGGTATCTGTGGTGGGACATACTTTAACAGACATTTAAACTGGCCGAGGTGTTGACATAGTGTTTCTTTTTGTGATCCTTAATAAATATCTGCACCTTCACACCAGAAACTACTAATTTTACCATTTGAAGGGATTCCTCAGATACTTCAGATACACGACCCAAATTCCAGAAATATTTGTTGCCGTGCTAGGTTACCCAGGGGATATAAATCTCAAATATTTTTCAAAGTTTGTAGCGCCCTGATAGCCATGGAAAAGTTGCATTACTATGGCCTGCGTGGGTAACCTTTCCTTCATTAGAGCTGACGCTATTGAAATACGTGGAGATAGTTTAATTAGATCTGGCAATATGTACGTACATATGTATTGTATAAGTATTTACTTGGTTGACAAGAGATGTTATTGTGTTTGGTGGGATAGTTATGAAAGTCAGGACTGAGCAAAGACATGTTAATGTTTTCATCGCAACGCTAGGTACTATGGTTGTTCTCTAGGTGGCTTTCACGCTTGAACTCCTTCACCGTCGGAAGTTGCGTCGCAAAACTTCAGTACAGCACATTATATTGAATAAACGGCACGTATACTTCTTCTTTACATATACCTTACATGCATATTGTAGCTGTCACATTGTATAAGGCAATAACAGACGGAGAAGCGTTGGTCAACTCCCTCCACTAGTTCCGAGGAAGATACTGTGCCGTGTATGTGACGTAGTGACATAAGCTCCGCCCCCTCGTGAATATTCATGATTCCTGTGCACTTAAGACCATTGTAGGTTTTTAGGGCACAACACACGTGCACAACACAGTAGCCCCATACACGTGCATGGGGTGTCATTCTTGATTTTGACGGTTTTCAAGAAGGTCGATAAATCACTGTAGACCATTAATTTTTACAATCATCTTGCATCACACAGGTGTCAGTGTTTGTTTCTAGCCGGGGTTTTGTTTGAAAATGAAAATTTTACACATGCAACTTTCACATGAAACACCAATCTTCGTTCAAGAGCGATCACTGTACAAACAACTATGGTCATCAGGAAGTGCAAGTAGTGATGCACTCTCAAAACATTCATTATTATCATATCAACATTGGCGGACTCCGATATATCTCACACTATTTTCAATAGTAAATTAAAAATGAAGATCACCTACGTTTTTGAAGAGTAGCACGTAATGTGGAAAGCTATAATAAAACACACATCTTTTTTTACACCATATCATCTAGCACATACCACAAGCATATCGTCAGAAATATCACAGCATTAAAAATTTACTCTTTAGTATTCTAAATTTTAAACGGCTATTTTAGATTAGATTGTTAATCACAATGGATCAATTTTTACGGATGTTCAGCACTCCCTACCAAAAGGGTGTTTTCTGTTGATAGTCAATCCTTGCAGAAAAAAAACAAACTACGGCATTATTGATTGGGCTGAACGTAAGGCAAAATAATATGATTCAGGGACTGTGAGACAGACTAGCCCCTTTGTCAAGGTGCAGGGCGACTGATGCTGAGTGTTGTATCTGATAATGTTTTACCCTTTGGCGATTCTGGTGTTAGAATAGGTCTCCAGAAACCCGAGTTGGTTGTAGTAGTAAGACGGTAGTCAGATACACTGACTGGTCCACTGTGGTATCGCACCCCGACAGTGTGGATCAGCTGGTCAGACTATCAATCACGGGTTTGTCTTACCCAAGACGTTCTATTTACTGGCCACGAAACAAAGCATCTGACCAATAAAAAGATTGTTATTATTTCACTATTTGTTCATCACTAGCATGAATAGTATCAGATGTAACATGTCTTTTGGGAAATAATGAAGGTTATCATTTCAGTTTTAAAAAAGGAATGACAATAAAAGGAAGGATTATTTTTTCCAGTAAAAGTCTGCTGATCACAACTCAGGATGTCGTCCACAACTCAAAAACATCAGAGCTTTGTGTCAGAGTCAATGGTAGGTAAGCCTGTGACTGCTCTACCGGGGATAGGACCGGTTTTGGTGAAAGACTCAATCGGGCAAGGTATCATCAGGTGAGATTACACTTTACGATGTCTTACATTTCAGAAGACTGTCATTGATGAAATGAATGTTTTATCAGTAAACTGATAAAAAATGTCACGATACTCTGATCAGAATACTGGTCTGTATCTGTAGAGATGAATATACACATAGGCAAAAGTTATTGTGAACAACAAACATAATCAGCATTAAACCTTTACTGCCGCAAATAGAATCTTAAGACATGGAAAGACAGGTGTTTCAAGTTTTGAAAGCCAGTTCGTGAGGACAGTGTACCTGGCACATGCAAAATAAGCATGCATAAAACAAAAGGGGGTTCACAAGCAAGGTCACGTGGTCAGTAACGAGTGTGTCCACCTAGTGCATGGATGCAAGCCTGGCTTCTTCGCCTCATTGAGGCCACTTGATGTCGCCGACATTCCACATCTGAGTTCCTGCAGCATTGTTTGAGTTTTCCGATAATGTTACAAATGTGGCGCCATTTCATCATTCATGTGTCCATTGGGTGACAAAAGTGGTGATCTGGTCAGCTGAGGTAACACTTTAACACTGTGGAACATGATAAAAAGTGAAGAGAACTCTCCTCATCTCACATGCTCCCCACAGCACGTGTGGATCATCACCATAAGTGCCAAATGGTGTTTCCATGGACGTTGAATTGCAGCATCACGCTGCGAGGTCCCAAATGAAGCATACCTATAGTCATTTTCCCTAAGGCGTGACATGTTGACTTGTTCCAGAATGATGAATAAAGGTGTTTTTTCTGACTTCTGCACTTCTTAAGATTTCACTGAGTTGAAATAATAAGCATCTGATTGTCTCGCCTTTTAAGGTGAATATTTCTCAAAAGAAATTCCAAATATGTCATGCCTATTGCAAATTTCGTGTAATTCGAACAACTGCTTGATTACGTTACTTTGACCATTTTAACACTATCTTTCTCTGGTTCAGATAGAAAGAAATCATTTACAAGATTATCAAACAAGCCCTTGTCACAACCCTATATATTTACGATGGTTTCCTTTGTAGACCTACAGGTACAGTTAATACATTTAATTCTAAGTATGAACTTGGTTGAAATTTCTGTCTGTTTAGTTTCTCATGCAGTCGAAGTCATTTTGATTATGTTCAACATTTCTGTTGCAGTGAATTAATTATGTAGCATCAATGACTATTGATAAATGTATGGAAGTTAGAATAAGCAGGTATGCATGTCAAGCTGCAGCATGCCCTCTCTCAGTTGGTAGCTCAAAAAACAACTGACTTAGTGTTGATAATCTGTTACTTGAAGACCGCCTCCGTGGTGTAGTGGTTAGAGCGTCCGCCCGGAGAGCGGAAGGTCGCGGGTTCGATTCCCGGCCGCGTCATACCAAAAGACGTTAAAATATGGTACTTGTTGGTCCCTGCCTGGCGCTCGGCATTAATTGGTACAACAAGGACTGGTCGGCTCGGAGTCAGTATAATGTGTCTGAGTGAACTTGGTTGAAATTTCTGTCTGTTTAGTTTCACTGCGGCATGGTATCTCAGTGGGCTAGCACTATAAAACCAGCTTAAGTCTGGGCTAGAACAAGCAGCCGCACATACACATACACACGCATGCACGTCGTCATATGAGCGACATATTCTCAAGCACGACGTTAAACCCAATTTCACCTCACCTGTTACTTGAAAGCTACATTGCACTCCGTTTCACATCTCACCTGTTACCCGTGAAGAGCCACCTCCTCGTGGTGGGTGCTGGGTAACGCTAAGAGCTCTTCAACCCCCCGTGTGGACCCGGGGGTATATTTGGTCCACAGCACCCAATTGCTGGTCGTAAGACCGAATTGGGCAACCTGTTTGCCGTGGGTTGCGCCCCTGTGTCGGTGGAGGAAGGGATTCTGGCTGTTGAGGGCATAGGAGCCAGGAAACCAGGAAACCATTCAGACGAACTCTTGGCTCCACGTAACACTTACCTGCTTTAATTTTCTTCTCCCAGTGCTCCAAGATCATGAAAGGCAGGATACTGTAACATTACTGTTGACACCTACATACCAAATCCTCTGAGGTGTTTTAAATGCCAGAAGGTTTGTTATGGTGTTAGTACTTGCACATTGTCTGTTGTGTGTGCTCACTGTGGTGAGAAGACACATACAACAGAAGATTGTGAGAGTACCTTTAAGAAATGTACCAACTGCGCAGGCACTCACTCTTTTTCCAAAGATTGTCCGATCTGGAAACAGCATATGGAGATCGATAGGATCAAATTTACTCAAAACATTAGTTTCTTTGATGCAAAAAAGCTTGTCTTAAGATCTGAGATCAAGGAAACGTATGCGTCCATAGCAAAACTTCGGCTGATATGACCCCTACAGTAACCAAGTCATCTGCAAGCTGTCAGATGAACTTGACTTGGCTCAAAACCGAGTCTCCTAAGATTTTATCACCTGCAATGTCTACACAAACTGTGGAACCACTAAGTCTTCCTAGCACGCCCCAAACCCAATCAGAACCATCTTATGATCGTGATACACCTTCTCAGGCATCTCATATGACTCAGTCTAACAGAAACGTTCAACAAAACGTCAAAAGCAAAAGCAAACCGAAGCCTGATTCTTCGAAAAAACAAAGTGGCAGAGCCCCAAAAGGGTCAGATGATAAAATCAAATTATTTAACAAATACGGATCACTTGAGGACACGGACGTGTCCGAAAACGTCCCTTCCAGGGCACATAGCTTGTCGCCCTCGAAAAAGGTGCGGGGTAGATCCCCTATTAATCCACCTAAAAGATAGATCTATCTAAACATATAGTGCAGTGGAACTGTAGAGGACTACGGACAAATTTTAATGAAATACAGCTGTTAACCCAGGATTTAACGCCATCAGCGTTCTATCTGCAAGAGACGTATCTGAAACAGACAGATAATTTTAGCTTACGTCAGTTTGAAGCCTATCATTATTTTTCCCCTCTGGTTGATAGGGCCACTGGAGGTTCTACTATCCTTATAAGACAGGATGTTATTCACAGCCCTGTTTCACTTAACAGTAATCTCCAAGCTGTTGCAGTGCGACTTACTCTGGGTGTAGCATTTACGTTTAGCTCTCTGTATATTCCGCCTTCATTGGCACTTCAGCAGACTGATCTTCAATCACTCTATGATCAACTCCCGAAGCCATGTGTTATTATTGGTGACCTAAACGGTCACAACCTACTCTTGGGCAGTACAAACACTAATACTAAAGGCAAAATACTTGAAGATTTCATTTCCAATAATGACCTGTGCATATGTAATGATGATCCAAGCACCTATTTGCATCCTGCAACTGGCACTTATTCTTCTCTAGATTTGTCTCTTGCAGATTCTAACCTCCTGAATGAATTTGATTGGTCACTTCATAATGACCTTTGTGGAAGTGACCACTTCCCAACTATCCTTTCAGAGATAACTCCATCTGATTCTCCATCGTATACAAGATGGAACTTTTCGAAGGCTAACTGGTCTTTATATCAAACTATTTGTAAATCGAAAATGTGACCTGAACTGTGACCTGAAAACTTTTTTCAGCTGATGAGTGTATGATCCTACGTTCAAACATGGTTTTACAGATTGTGACGTCTTCCGCCACCAAACTGTCCAGGAAATAGCTTGATGAGTGTCTCCAAAATTAATTCACGCAAAGTCATCTAAAACGACTGTTCACCATCTTAAAGATGGTGATGATTTAATTACTGACAAATCTAAAATTGGCGAAACCAAATTACGTCCCTGAGTTTCAAAGATATCAGGGCGGTACTAGTGGTTAAATTCGTCACGCCGAAAAGCACATGGGTACAATGTGTGAAGCCAGTGTTGTAAACTCCCCAAAATTTCGGCCAGACAACTGGTCTGGTAACTCTCAAAAGTTACCAGACCGGCTGGAAAGTTACCAGTCCAGAATTTTCAGGATTAACAGTGATTTTGAAGCCTATAAAATCAGTAGGACAAATGTCCTGAGTGGGTGTCTGGCGATAGGCCATTGACCTAAAGCTCTTTTTGACATTTTTTTAAATCCCAATGCCATCATATAACTAAATTGTTAATGACATTTAATGTTGCAACTTGGATTCTAGATATACAGCAAAATTAAAAGATCTAATCCCACTGTTGATAAATATGAAATTTATTTTTCTAACATTTTTCAAATAATACAACTACAACTTAAATAAATTGAGTTTTTAATGAAAATGCAAGCATTTATAATGTCCAGAAATATCACAAAAGAAGCAAAAACTATGGCGATTTTTTTCCATTTGTGACATGTCATAACATCCCCGTGCCTTTTTCTTTTATATTTTCATTTTTACGTAATCAGAAAATTATTAAAAGCCACTGATATCGGGAAATAGGCGACCATACATATTATTTAAGAAATCTTTATAGGCGACCATACATATTATTTAAGAAATCTTTATATTATAAAGATTTCTTAAATAATATGTATGGTCGCCTATTTCCCGATATCAGTGGCTTTCCGCTCGGTAACATGACACAACAACGGAAAATACCTCCGTTTTCGAAGCTTCGTATGAATAACATGCGAGGCGAATCGTTTGATGGCGGGTATCGTTCGAAAGCTCTGAACATCAACAATATCTCTATACCCTTGCTGAGAGTATTTTCACAGTTGTAAGAAGCGATTTTATTGGATAAAGATTGGTTTCTAATGACGCTTTTTCGCCACACTCAGCTATAAGAGTCGTGATTGGTCAAAATCAGACACGTGACATGAGGCAGCCACTCATATTACGGCAATGGATACTCTCCTCGTAAACGAAAACTCTTATATTTAGACGAAAGTTTTGGGTAAAATAATGCTATTCGGAACATATTAAGCACGAAACCGCTATGTATACGTAAATTATGGAACTTATTTGACGTATCGTGCTAGGTTATGACCTGTGACAAAAATGCTTCATGCATATATTTTCGCATTAAACATCGTGTCCAAGCGTGAAGATTGTGGCGGCGAAAGCCCAGATGTCACTTGTCA